TATCTTGTCATAGGATGATGGGTCTCATCCACCTTTTCTGCTCTCTCATACTGGATGGTTATGGCAGCCTCATTACTAAAACTGGTTGCCTGGGGCAGGAATTCTCACTGGTGGTAGTGGTAAACAGGGCATATGAATCCCTGCACTTTGAACAAACCCACCCCCATAGGTGATGTGTATGTGACCCATGAGAAGTTGGTTGTAGAATTCTGTTGCAGAAGGATATTTATTGATGTAGGGGGACAGAAAGCAGGTCACAAAAAAGTATGCATAAAAACAGGTGTGATCTTATTTTTGTAAATATTTGTGTGTGTATATATATGAAAATTAGACAAACAGCTATTTTTTTCTTTCATTTCTACATTTACTATGTATTAATTTTTTTTCAAGGGGAAAAAAATCAACAAACTTAAAGAAAGTTTCAGCAAGTAAACCTCTATGGAGGGTTATTCCAGGAAGCCCTTGGCTGAGAAGTGGTGCTCTAGGAGTCTTTGGTGCTCCAGGAAATTGATAGCCCTTGGGAAAGACCGAAATTCTTTACCATGGGTGGTGCTTCAGGGAGAACGACGATTTCTGAAGGAAAGACTTCAGAGAAGCCTGGCTAACCAGGAAGACACCTGGTTTAGGGGGCAAAGCCAACACTTCAAACACATTTTTTGCTCAAATTTAGGAAAAGAGCTGATCACCAAGAAGTTGGAAACTTTTTCCTAACTTGTTTACACATCAAGCTGTTATGTGCTATCTTTGTATATATAATGTGCCTGAATGTCCTTGAGGACATTGTTGTTGTGGTAGTGTACACCATACTAAAGACAAAGAGGGAGGAGAGATTTGTAAACTTTTATGATGTGAAATGCAGTTATTGTGAAGGTGCAATGCGTGATGCTGATTAATAATGGTTAAGTCAAATATAAAAAGTTGAGCATGCAGACAGTAGAGGATATAATTTTTAATTAAGATCCCAACATAAAAGGCAAAGATACAAAGGTTTTGTGCTGCATAGGACAAACATTTATGGCTTTTTATTTATGTCTAGGACATTGAGACAATGCATTGCAGTTATCTGGTGTTATTCACAGCAATTCAGGACAGGTGTGGTGCTTATGGCGTCAGGGACACAGCCTCCTTCTTGTTGCTCCACTTTGCATGGCCTCAACTTCATGATCTAAGATAGCAGCATCTATGTTTCAAGCAGCAGGTCAGAGGAAGAGAAAAAGAAACTGGCCCCACATGACAGTCCTACCTATTTCCACTTACATATAAAGAGATGGAAAATGTTGTCTTTCTGTTTGGCAGCTGTTTATAAAACAACAAAAGCTGGAGCGTGTACTAACACATATGAATGAAAGAATGGATATTGGGGGACAACCAGTACCCTCTGCCATAAGCATCTATTGCAGGATGTCTCCACCTTGGCAACACTGACATTCTGGGTGAGATCATTCTTTGTTCCAGTCCGGTGCATTGTGGAATGCTTTAACAGCATCCCTGGCTTCTATCCACTAGGTTACGACAACCAGAAATGTCTCTAGGTATTGCTAAATGTTCCCCTCAGGATGACCTCTCCACTTCCTGTTGAGAACCACTGATTTACTGTCTGCAGAAACTGTGTTAATCACTGAAGAGACAAACCATAAATGAGATCATTTCACATGGCAATAAGTGCCATGATGAAAATAAAACAGGATAAGAAGGCAGACAGGCCTGGGATGCAACATTTACTACATGCAAACGTCCTGACAGGGAAAGAATTTGGCTTGTTGCAAGAAGAATCAGAATGCAGACATGTCAGGATCTGTATCCTAGGGAAAGAACAACAACAAACAGAATACAGGTGTGACTGGCAGAGCAGGTGGACTGAGTTGAGGCTGGAGAGTAGATGGGAGCCTGGTGAGGTCTTGGTGTTTGATCTTGGTGGTTTGATCTTTACTGCAGTGGGAAAGAATTGGAAGACAAGCAGGGAATGACACGATCAGTGTTTTTTTTTTGTTTTTCTTTTAAACCAGGTGGCTGCTGAGGGCATGTATATGAGAGAAGCATTAGAGAAGATACAGGGAGATGAGGAGGTTGTCATAGTCCATGTGAGAGATGATGATGGCTTGCAATTAGGCAGCGGCAATGGCAATGGCAATGGAGAAATACTATTGAAGGAGAAAAGTAACTAAGATAGGAGATGGTTAAGGCTATCTTTGACTTATCCAAATGACTAATGGGGAAGACGGAGTGGTGTTAAAGGGTAATTGTTTTCCACACCCCTTGAAATTCAGTTCAGGCCTTACAGATCTGTCCTGTATGCTCCTGTATTAATTTACTATGGCAGCAGTAACAAACAATCACAAACTTGACGGCTTGAAACAATAAATTTATTCCCGTAGTTCTGGAGGCCAGGAAGTCCCATATCAGTTTTATGGGTATCTAGAGACTCTGGGGAAGAATCTGTTCCATGCCTCCTCTGGCTTCTGGTGACTGTCAGCATTCCTTCGTTGCAGCTCCATCATTCCAATCTCTGCCTCTGTGGTCACTGTGCTTTCTCCTCTGCTATGTGGTAATATCTCCCTTTGCTTCTATCTAAGCATAGAAGTAGCTGCATTTAGGGCACACCCAGATTATCCAGGATAATCTCTTCATCTCAAGACTTTAACTTAATCACACCTTTTGCTATAGAAGAGAACATTTCCAGGTTCCAGGGATTGGTATAGGGATATCTTTTGGGAGGTCATAATTAAGCCTACCACAGTTCCTAAAGTGTTTGAAATCATTTCTGGTGCAACTAATAAGGTCATGTTTGTGTAGCGATCCAAGTGGAAAGAAACACTGTGAAAGTAATTTTAAATATGCCATTCAGTAATGTTAAAAAAAGGAAAAGAATTTTATAAGTGGATTTTCAAGATTACTAAGAAAGGGATGAAAAAACACAGGAGGGTTCCATGGACTTTAGACAGATCATCCTAGACATTAAAGTCAATGCTTAAAAGCATGGTTATAGTCACACATTGTATAGTGGGCACTCAAATGCACAATGGTCTGTCATGTTAGTAGGGCTGGGCATTAAGATAGGAGGGACAGCGAGAGGGCAGTGGACACTGGAATGGGAATGCAGAACTGAACCAGCCCACAGAGGTAGGGCAAGACAACAGGTTCAGGTACATCTAAGTAGCTGTGGCTAGCAGGTCCAATGATGAAGCAGGAGTGACATGCAGGAAAGCAGAGATCATGAATAACTCCAAGAATGGGTAATATTTAGAGATCCAGGCAGGCTGCTGGCATCAGGCTAATATCTCAGAAAGTGGTTAAACTTTAGGCTCTTGATTGGGGTTCCAGGTCAGGACTCTGTCACTGAAAGGGAATCCTAGTTCTCAGCATACTAGGGTAAATAGCCAAGAGAGGAACTTAGACCCTAAAGAACAAGGCATGAATCTAATTAGCAGCACTGGGGTCCAAGATAGAGCTGGACAAACAACAAGGATAACTCATCCCAAGTTCTGGAGTGCTTATCCAGAACTTGCTAAGTGCTACTTCCTAAAGACCAGTACCTCCAGGCAGATTTGCAAGTAGGAGGAAAGTCTAATAATACTTTATGTAATTCTGGTGGAAAAAGGCAAGAATAACATTCCTGTGTTTGAATTTATAATATAGCCTAAGACATACAACATAAATAAGTCATTATTGACAATGGGAAGGAAAGTAATTTAACATGCAACATAATTAAATCCATGAAATAAATATTTACTTATATAATACAATTTTCTAAACACCACCATTATTAAGGAGAGTACTAGGAAAAACTAACAAACATAGCATGTGAAACAGTTGGGTACGGTGGTAAAGGGCACAGGCTCTGGAGCCACAACTGACTAATACATTGCAATATTTTGTTTAGCAAATTATAGCTGGTCTGCGTATAAACAGAAGAGCGATATCTGGGGGATCAAGATACCTAAATTCTAGACTTACATCCTGGCCCTGAATCTAACTATCAATGTTGCCTTGGAAAAACTGCTCAAACTTTTGAGGTCTAAAGTTTCAGACCTGTAAACTTGAGAGGGTTAAGGTCCTAGGTCCCTTAAATGTAAACTTTAAAATGCTTTTTTGGAATGTTTCAAATCTTCAAGCTTTTCAAAGTGCACCCAGACTTTCTCCTTACTATACAGTCTGAACAACTTTGAGAATCACTGTATTATCTTTGTTTATATAGTAATCCTGATCTAAATTTTATTATTCCCATTTCGGAGACAAGGAAATAGAGGCCTAGGCTAGCATGGCTAAATAAGCGATAAAGCTGGGATTAGATTTTAACTCTGCCCATTTTAAAACTGTGCATTTTCTACTTTTCTGTATGTTATTCTGATATTAGACTTAATTTTCACATAGTAGGCTAGGATTCCAAGTACTCAATATCTATATATTTACCCAGATAGCTCTTACTTTGATATTTCTAAGTCTATACTTTGAGCTAACATTTGTTCAGTTCTCTCCTATTTCAGCACTCCCTTTTCTTGTTATTTATGGTGTTGTCAGCCCATATGGTCTAACTCCCATTTCTTACTCCTGTTGAATGTCTCCTACATGTCTGTTTTTTAGCAGTAACTCCTGACTTTTATCTGAAATAAAATTTTTATGTACTTGCTCATTTCATCCACTTTATGATGAAAAAAATTAGCTAGGTGTGAAGTTGGTACTAAAATTATAATAAACAGAGGACGAAACAAAGACAAGAGAAATAAAAACTCCAGTAATTATTTTCCTTTTTTTAAATATTTAGGTTTTTATGAGACAAGGAAGATGATTTCATGTCTAAACACTGGAACAACTGAAATCATATTAATATTATAATCACTGCCATCTTCTAAAGGAAATTCTAAATGAATATTTGCATGGAAAAATAGCATTTAATATTTAACTTTCAGAATATAGAAACATTGTTGAAAGACTGTGTGATACCAGTGTATGTATTTTTGAGGTAATATTTATATAGCTAGTTACTCTCACAACCAAGGGAAACAAATACTGCTTTCTGGATATGTTCTATGTTAACTTGTCAAGAATTCTACACTGTTGTAAAATAAATGCAGTTCAGTGGTATAGCAGTTATACAAATATGTGTAAACTCTATTACTAGATTAACTTGAAACAGTAGAGTGGTTACTAATTATGTGTTATTAACAAAAATATCAACAAAAAACAGACCAAAATGTGCAGCGGCATAATAACAAAAATATAATTATCAATATAGCTATCTTATTAGAGTAAACCATAGTATCATCAGGCTTAAAAAAAACTAAGGTCATTGTTTTTTCTGACTCTTCTTTATAAATACGGTGGATAACTCTGATCAGTTATCCTTATTTACATTCCCTGTGTACAAATTTGCTGATATTGAACACTATTTTCAAACACATCATCATCTGATTAAATAGGTGATCATTACTGAAAACTCATCAAAGCTTTCAAGGCTATTAATGGTTTCATGCAACTTAAAACTTCTAATTTTGGAAGTAACCGGCCAAGGAATTTTTTCCTTTTATTGGTAAACAGCCACCATATATCAGTGACATTATCAATATGTAAATACAGTATTTAACATGCTTGTATTTTTCTTAAGAGCTGGAATACAGACTTCACAATATTTCTGAAACATCATCAACTATTTTGATAATGCCATTACAATATAACCTATGTGTGACATTAAAAAAAATTATGAACTGGTCATAGTGCATTTTTCTGAACTTAAATTTCCTAGAGGCTAACATAACAAAATTATCATTTTGACACAGTATATTGCAAGCGTCTTTTATAAAGTTCACAGTCTTTTCTTGTTGCCTCTTTCTAAACGATCCTGTAAGGAAAAAAATATGATTTATGTAGTACAGCAAAGAGAAACAATTCATAGACATGACAAGGACTTTTAAAAAACATTCTCTCTTCTATGTATACTTATGAGAATAATTAAATGTGAAAAAAAGGATTGAGAAAGTCTAAAATTTTAAAAACTATAAAATTTGTGGTTTTTGCTTAGGAAAAAGAACGCTCTTGGTAAGTTCATTTTTCCCCTTGCCTTAATCTATTTTGCTTTTGTTTCACAGGTTACACCAGGAAAACATGATTTCTAAAATTCCCCTACTGTTAACCCAATTAAGCTTTTTGGCAAACGAAAAGAAGGAAGGGACAAAAATCCCAGCTAGGGCGGCTTTGATTTTGTCCTTCAGATATTTGCCAACAGAACTGACTTCTCAAATTATACTCGGCTGATCATGTTATAAAGATGACTATAATACATCATTTAAAACTGAAGGAAAATGGAATAGAAATTAATCTTAAGAGATCACTTGTGCTAAGAAAGTAAATGTCTACGTCAAGAAAAAGATCTCATAAAATGGAGTTGCAGAGTGTTATTGCTTGTATAAAGAAGTTTGTCAAGTTCTTGTTCGGGCTGAACATTAATGCTTACATAGCAACTTTAGTAACATTAACTTTTGCAATCAAATAAGACGACAACAGTACAGGAGGTAAACATACTACTTTCACAGGTTTACAGGTGTGGCCCCTTTTGATAAAAATCAAAGCTTTAATGAAGCTATTATGGACAAGTCCCTTAAGTGATGGCTGATTTTCCAAAATGAAATTGAAAAACTGGCAGGTGCTGATGCTTTTGTGCAGCCAAAAATCTCTAGTTAGTTCTGTTTTTCTTTTTTTAGAAGAGAGGCAGGGCAAATAAGGAAAGGTAAAGACTTCATGTTTTGAAGGGACGGTTTTCTAATATTTATTTAGTGCCTATAACAGGGAGGAGATCAGATGGGGAAATCCAAAAGGATGTAAAATATGCAAATTGGGATCTGTTTACAGTAAAGAAATCAGCATTTCCCTCTTTAACCTTTGTTTCCTTAAGATTTTAATAATCCTTTGTTTTATGATTGTTCCACTGAAAGTATGTCAACTATGTAAAATTCAGAAAGTTAGTTCCAAAGAACCTTAGGATATAATTCAATATCTAAGATTAGTTTGACAACAGAAGTAAAATTCATGAGGACAATTTGATAGAGCTTTTTACCATAGAGGGTCTATAACTATCTTTTGTTTCTCAAGCAGGGCTCAGATGGTGAACACTGACACTCAAGAGTTAAAGAAAAGGGTTCTCGGCTGGGCATGGGGGCTTGCGCCCATCATCCCAGCACTTTGGAAGGCCCGGGTGGGCAGATTGCTTGAGGTCAGGAGTTCGAGACCAGTCTGGCCAACATGGCGAAACCCTGTCTCTACTAAAAATACCAAACTTAGCTGCACGTGGTGGCATGCGCTTGTAGTACCAGTGACTCAGAAGGTTGAGGCACAAGAATCGCTTGAATTGGTGAGGTGGGGGTTGCAGTGAACTGAGATTGTGCCACTGAACTCCAGCCTGGGTGACAGAGTGAAACACTGTCTCAAAAAACAAAACGAAACAAAACAAAACAAACCAACAAAAAAAAAAAACAGAACAAAACAAATAAACAGGGCACTCGATGATATCTAAATCTGAGAAACTTATACAGGGTCTCATATTGGACAATGGTCGGGGGTGGGTAGGTGAAGGAAAAAAAATGTAACCAATTAGGACATAATAAATAGCATTCTTGATTAGAAATATATAAAGTGCCTTCTTATACAGGATCTGCTTTAATTTTCATAAGGTATTATAACCTTTATTTAAGTATTAAAGTACCTGAGGAGCACAGATGTCAAATGAATCATCTGTGGGTTACAGAAGTGGTATACTATGGAGCTGAGATTTTGTTTTCCTTCAAACAGAGATATTATGGGAAATTGGTTTTATAGGTGATGAAAAAGTATACACATCAAACAGGGTGGTAAGGCACCTCTGGGATTATCAATAGTATAAAAGCCACCACCACTTCTTGGGCTGGAGGGATGAGGGCTATGAAGCCCAGGTGTGAAGGCCAGTAAGTAGAAGCTGCCCAGTGGGACCTGAGCCCATGGAGGGAAGGAACTGGAGCCAAAAAGGAGAAGGCCCCTACAGCGGAGAAGAAATCCCTGGCTTTCCCCTTCCTCCTGCCTTCAGTCTTCTAGTGCCTGCTACTGGCTAAACCTGCCCAGACTGAGTCAGACAGCAAGGAAGCTTTGGAAACAGACCTCCCAGAGATACAGAGTAAAGCAGTGGTGAGAGGAGAATGGATCTAAGAACACAATCCAATGACCAGCAAAGGCCAAAGAACATAGTGGTTAATGACGGAGGTTCTGGAGAAAGATTCTCTGACTTTGAATGCTATCACTTTCTAGTAACTTTGGGTAAATTATGTAACATCTCTGGGTCTCAGTTTCCTCATTCACAAAATAGGAATATTAAAATAGTTTCAATTACTGAGCTGTCACGGAGAGTAAACAAAACAACATATATGAAGCCCTTAGCCAAGTGCTTAGTCCAGAGTAAACTCTCAACAAATGTCATCTATTAAATATTTCAAAAACTGGATACAAGCAGAAATTAGATCAAGTCCTAAATGTGCTATCAAACAAGGCCCTACTGTTGGCATGGTGTCTGGCATAATCTGGGACCAGGTCTTTTCCACAGAAACAGGTATAACAACTATTTTCTTGGGAAGGAATCACTTTTTTTTGAGATGGAGTCTCGCTCTGTCACCCAGGCTGGAGTGCAGTGGTGCGATCTCGGCTTACTACAACCTCCACCTCCCAGGTTCAAGTGATTCTCCTGTCTCAGCCTCCTGAGTAGCTGGGATTACAGGCACTTGCCACCACGCCTGGCTAATTTTTCGTATTTTTAGTAGAGACAGGGTTTTAGTGTGTTAGCCTGGATGGTTTTGATCTGACCTCGTGATCTGCCTCGGCCTTCCAAAGTGCTGGGATTAAAGAAAGATATGAGCCACCATGCCCAGTCAGGAATCACTCTTAAAAGCTTTCTACATCCTTTACCAAGAATGCAGCAGCTCCAGGCTGACTGTGGCTTTTTTGTGGGGAGGAAATGGGTTGAGGAAATCTCACTGTTACATATATTCTTCAGAATTAAGAGAACCAATGGCTGTTATCACAATGGAGACATTCAACAATGGATACTGGCCATAAGAAATTGAGGGCATACTTCTGGTTTTCCTTTCTCCATTCAAGGATCTAAGTATGTCTGACATCGCAGCAAAGACCACTAATGTCGATACTTAACCTGGTCGAGTAAACCTTCATCTCACAAATAGGGGGAAAATGTTGTATTTCTAGGCAAGAGATCTCTGAAGTGACTTCTTTACTTTCCAATGTGGATCTTGAAAGATACCATGGAATAATTATCATGCCCTGAATAGGTCAGCTATTTTAGGATCTCTATTTTCTCGCTGGGGAAGGGGTGGTCTTGCTGACAATCTACCTATCTGCTCCGGGCCATGTGAACTGAGCCCTTAGTGTTCCTGGGATTGGAGCATACAGGGTATTCACCCTTCTCTGGCTACTTTGTCTTCTGCTATTGTCAAAGTAGGCTAGTTAAAACAAAGATGCAAACCAAGCGGAACTATCAGATTACAAACATGTGCTTTAGATTACTTCATGACTGGCTCTAAACCAAGGCCAAAGTGGTTGGTTGAGAATAAGTCATTCTTTCAGCAAAATTCCTACAGATGAAGTAATACAGATGATGATGATAATAGCTATCATTTCTTGAGTGTTTACTGTCAGGAAGGCATAGTGCTAAAAAACCTACACATTTTATTTAGTTCTCTTAACAATCCAGTGAGCCAGGCATCATTATTGTTCCAATTTTATAGATGAAAGAAGTGAGCCCCAAAGGGATGCTATAACCTGCCTAAGATAAAAAACCTAGCATGCGGCCAGGTATAGGTAGGTATTCCAGGTATGTCTGACTCCAAAGTCCATGAGTATAGTGCCTGCTTGCCTTGTGCCAGGAACAGTGCTGAGCCTTGGAGATACCATGACCATTAAGATGCAGGGAAATGTGTACAGTGAAATAAAAAGCTACCATTTGTAAAAAGTCCTGACTGAAAGCCACAAAAGCTGCCAAATTTTGAAGACAAGCCCAACCAGTCTGTCTTGGGAGAAACTGGGAAGCAAGGCCAGGGCTGCCTCTGGAATGGTCTCTTTCCCAATTGATCAAAGTGTGGCTGGGAAATCAACTCAGGTTACCGGCTGGTAGCAGAAGGGAGGGAGGAAAGACAAGCCTAACAGGGATGAACGTTTCTTTTCTTGGATTAGACAGAAAGAGAAATAAAACCTATGGCCCAGATCTGACTTTGTGGCTTTAACACTGAAACATTTTTTTCCCCATTTCCATCTTTCAAATCAACATTTGGAGGTAAATAATAAATTTGAATGCTAAAGTGTTTGGCCTGATATGTCTAAAACACTGAGACAAGAGTAGTGTGATGTGGAACTTGAAATTCTGGCCTCATTTTGGCATGAATATGGCAAACATCCCAAACAGCAAAACTCATCTTTTCTAGAACCCGTCTGTTTTCCAGTGCTGCCATTTTTGTGGCTTAATTCTTTTGCTTAAAAGTTCACCAAAACTGGAATGCTGTAAATATGCACGTCAGCAATTCCTTATAATTATCTTGTATTTTCCTGCAATGTACTAATCTTTACCCTCTAGGTAAAAATCTGGCTTATTTAAATCATTTAACAAAGCCAGGATTAAGTACATCATCTTGATTAGTTAGGGACAAATAACCCAAATAATTTACTTAGGTAATTACTATTTCAAAACATTTAGGCGCATAAAGTGCATGTCACACCCACCTGAAGTTCAGAGTGTTCTTTCAGGAGTTGATCATATTCTTTCGAAAGTCTCTCTGACTGCATCTTCATTTCCATCACATCATTTTGTGCCTTAGAAAGAGCTAGAAAACATCGAATAGAGTTTTATTTTTATTTCAAAATAATTTCAAATTTATAGAAAAGTTACAAGACTTAAATAGAGAACTCCTGTATAGTCTTTACTCAAATCCACTGTTAACATTGTGCTACAATTGTTATCATATTCTCTCTTCACACACACTATTATTTTCTTGACTCATTTGAGAATAAGGTGCAGGTATCATGCCCCTCTACTCTTTAACACATTTCTGGGAATGTACTTCCCAGAAACAAAATATTATCTAACATAACCATAGTATAGTCACCAAACTTAGGAAACTTAATATGAATACAATACTATAAATCTAATTTACCATCCATATGCCAATTTTTGGAACTGTACCAATCATGTCTTTTTAGCATTTTTTCCACTGCCAGTCCAGGATACAGTGCTAGATCACATATTGCATTTAGTTATCATGTCTCTTTAATTTCTTTTAATCTGGACTAATTCCCCACCATTATCACAGCCCTCTTCTCCCCATCTTTCATGACATTGACATTTTAAAGAACACAGGCCACTTTCAGATAGAATGTTCTTCACTTTGTTTTTGTCTGATGTTTCCTCATGATTAAAGTCAGGTCATACATCCACTTACATATGAATATAAGTGATATTAAATGCTTCTCAGGGCATCCAGAGGCCCATCACATCCAAAGTTTCTCTGTCCCTCACTGGTTTTTTCATTTTATACTTACAGTTTTAACCTCTGTAACTAAAGAAGCAATATATAGGAAGACAATTTAGTCTATGCAAGCATCCTGCTCCTCAAGATAATGGCACACAAGAATTACTACACATTGACCTTTGCCTACCAAGGAGCTACAAGTCATATGTCAGCAGATTCACATCCTTAGAAGTAAAATAAATGAATAAATAAATAAATAAATAAAAATATA